GAAGAGGTCAAGCGCCCAGCCCTCGAGTTCAGGGACCCCGCAGCCTAGCCTAGCCTAGCCCCACTTCCCCAAGGGGGAGCCCAGCTGTGCTTACCTCCTCCTCAAGGCTGCTGCTGCTGTGCTCACTCTCCTTGGCCAAGTTGCTCATAGTGTTGCGGGAGGGCAAAATGTGTGGGTCACAGGGAAGCCCACTCCCTCTCCATGCGAGGAGACCCGGCTTTGTAACCAAAGCATCCTCAGCGGTAGGATGGGAGACCATCAGGAGAGGTCAGGAGGAAGGGACAAGGGGATGGCAAAAGGGCAGCAGGGCTGCTCGGGGCCAAGTGCTAAGGCAGGACTTTCCTCAAACCCTCCCTCCCTCTCATTATAATCTTATCTATCTTCCTTCCTTTTTTCCCTCCTTCCCTCTCTCCCACCCTCCCTTCCTCCCTCCCTTTTTTCTCTCCTACCCTCCCTTCCTCCCACCTTTTTTCCCTCCCTCCCTTCATTCGTTCCTTCAGCTTCTCATCTCTTTCCTTCCTCAGGAAGGGGTGATGGGAGGGGGAGAGATTGCCAGTGCTGCCATGTTGCCACCGGTCTTGCTATTCCATGTGGGCGGGCGGGGGCTGTCCTGATGAAGGGAAAGCCTTGTGGCTGCGAGGCTGGAGGTGCTGGTAGGAGGGAGGTGGTGCTGATCTACAACCTGGTTGCGTCTATCAAAGCCAGAATGCACTCAACCTTAGATCCACGGGACAGCCCCACTCTGCCCCCTGGGCACACACGCAAGTGCTGGCACCCCTGCTGGCGGTCTTGCCCCGCAGGGTGACTTCACCCAGGACGCCGGCACTGGTCGTCTCCTGTGCGCACACCGGGGGGGCAGGACAGAGGCAGCGGGGCTGCCCTGGAACCAAGCAAGGAGCTTGGCTCCAGTGTTGGAGCATTCACAGCTTCTGGAGGCAGATTGTTTCGCTGATTGTTCTGTCAGGAAATGTCTCCTTAGTTCTAGGTTGCTTCTCTCTTTGGTTAGTTTCCATCCGTTGCTTCTTGTCCTTCCTTCAGGTGCTTTGGAGAATAGCTTGACTCCCTCTTCTTTGTGGCAGCCCCTGAGATATTGGAACACTGCTATCATGTCACCCCTCATCCTTCTCTTCATTAAACTAGACATACCCAATTCCAGCAACCGTTCCTTATATGTTTTAGCCTCCAGTCCCCTAATCATCTTTGTTGCTCTTCTCTGTACTCTTTCTAGAGTCTCAACATCTTTTTTACATCGTGGTGACCAAAACTGGATGCAGTATTCCAAGTGTGGCCTTACCAAGGCATTGTAAAGTGGTATTAATACTTCACGTGATCTTGATTCTATCCATCTGTTAATGTAGGCTAGCACTGTGTTGGCTTTTTTGGCATCTGCAGCACACTGCTGGCTCATATTTAAGTGATTGTCCACTAGGACTCCGAGATCCCTCTCACAGTTACTACTATTGAGCAAGGTACCACCTATACTATACCTGTGCATTTGGTTTTTCTTGCGTAAATGTAGAACCTTACTTTTTTCACCATTGAATTTCATTTTGTTAGATAGCGCCCAATGTTCAAGTCTGTCAAGATCCTTCTATATCTTAAGCCTATCTTCTGGAGTGTTGGCTATTCCTGCCAGCTTGATGTCATCTGCAAATTTGATGAGTTCCCCATCTAAAACTTTCTTCTTTATCAACAAAGAGATGTTGTGTAAAGCAGGGGTCCCCAATGCCCAGTCCGTGGACCAGCATTGGTTCATGGCATGTCAGAAACCGGGCTGCGCAAACAAGCAAAGCCTCATCCCAGGATGCAGGCCGCACACAAAACCACGCCACCTCCAGTTATGGAAAAACCTCTCTCCATGGAACCAGTCCCTGGTGCCCGAAAGATTGGGGGTGCTGGTGTAAAGGAACTCAGAACTCCATTGTTGATTAGCAGGATAGCCTTAGAAAATTGAACAGAATGGGACAAGATTTGGTGTAAGCTGGTGGATGATATCTCAGTTTTAAAGATAGATTAGATAGGTCAGGGGCTGCAGAGAAAAATAAATCAACAAAATTTATCTTGTTCATCTCTAGGGGAGTAAGTATTCTGTGCCCCCTTTGCCTCAAATGCTTTATTTGATAATTCATGATAAAACCCACCATGCATTATATGTGTTCACTCACACTCCGAAATTGATGAATCTATCTGAATTGAAAACTAAAATTCAGTTCTCAAAAAGGAACTAAAAAGAACTGTGAACATTTAGGAAATCATTTTGTTTGGTAAATGGTGTAAGCATTATCTGCTGAAGCTGCTTGCTCCCTGTCAAAAAATCAGATTTTAATACAATGTTATCATGAAGTTCTCAATATAATAGAACTTACTGCATATTTGACTGTCTTATTTATTTTCTGGAAATGGTTTAAAACACCATTAGAAATTGCATGTCCAATATGTTCCCCACATCCCGTGCCTTTGATTTTTCCTACCCATGTGTAGGACTTTTCATTTCTGCTTGCTGAAATTCATCTTGCTGGGTTTTGCCTATTGTTCCAACACATCTGGAAGGATCAGATTATGGAAGTGTGATATGCAACTTTGACAATGTCAGCTGAATTTATTTCCATATGGAGTTATCCAGCTTTCAAAAACTTAGGCAGATTAGGATGGGCTTCCATTGCAAAAACAATCTCTGGGACAGTTTGGCAAAAAAGCTAATATAGATTGTGTTTTTAGCACGAATTTTTGCTTGTCTAGTTCTTAGTGAGGCATTTTAGCACTTCTAGCTATTTCTCCCTTCTACATTCTGTTCTTTGCCAATCTGTTCTCTACCTTTTGTATCTGTGAACTTGTTTCCTTTCAACAAAGCGCGTTCTAAAGACTGTGAAGAAACACAGTCTTCTGCACTATTTCCTGACAAATGCTCCAAGCCATGCTTTATTGTCTGTATTTTTATGGAT